TTATAATGGCATTTGAAATGCCTAGATGACTTCTTGGAAGCGCTCTTTTATTCCTAAGTGTTTCCAGGCACAAAAGATCTGTTAGCTGGCACGGGGGATGGATGTTGTGGATGATCAGCTCCATACAGTGTCTTTGATCAAACTGTTGCCTTCCATAGAGCTCCTTCCATGAGCTCCATCTCCATGGAAGATACTGTGAGCCTTTCAACATCATTTTGTTTAGTGGCTTCTCCACATCATCTTGTTCAGTGGCTGCATCTGAGAGAGGGCCAGGGCCTATTTTTCATTCTGTAACAAAACCTTCTCCACAATTTTGTGATGTGGATAGGTGTCCAGAACACTGTGACGGAAATAGAAGAAAAATGCATCAAGACCCAGATAGGGCTACATAAATGCTGCTGTGATGCAACTTAATTCTGGTGAGGAATTACTCCCAGTTCTGTTGGGGATAAAATTTGTCAAGGAATTATAAGGATATAAGAGCACCAAGATCTTCAGACATGTGCAGCCTTTTAGAATAACTCAACTCAGTTTACAGTGCTTTAAAATATACGTATAGATGAGCCTTTGAAGTTTACATGGAGCAGAATACTATCTGACCACTTCTAGCACACACTGATACTTGTGCTTTAATTTAGGAGACAGTATTTCTATCTAGCTGAAGTTCAACTAATGGCAGATGATCTAAGCTCTGTATGCATTTTGTATATAATTGTATAGTAGTTATGGCCCAGAGCAGTAATATAGCTTTCCTACAGCACTGTAGAGAAGGCATAATATAAGATATGATACTTCCATAATTCATTACAACTGAATGTATTGTAATTTGTATATTTAAAAAGTAGAATAGTTTGCTTATAGCAACATAGTTCATAACAAAAGACTTATGCTCCCTAGAAAACAGTGTTTGAAAATATTTTCCTTTCCACACCAATTCAGAGAGATTTATTTTAATGCATTACAGGATTAAAAAAAAATGATAGTAGAACAACACTAGTACTGAGTTCTCATCTCCAGTTTACACTAGTGTAAATTTTGAGTCTCTTAGTTGATGCTCTGTATAAAATATAGTCTCACTGTCTCCTTCCTCCTCACACAGTAACAGCTATTATTCAGTGTCTTGTCTTTCTCCACCTCAAAATAAGGTCATTCTGACACGTAGGTCTAACAAGAAATACAATGTATTTTCATTGATTTGTTATTGTCGCTGATTACCCCTTTGTGTTATATAGTGTCCTGTATAGTAAAGGACATTTTATATTGACATGCAGAGCCCAGTCTTAAGGAACTGAATCTGCACCTTCAGTTTATCTATAAATGCTTGCTTTTTGAAAATAAGATTTCTGAAGCATTAAGAATGTTTACCATTATCTAGTAACTGGTTAGTTACTAGACCAGTGTTTGGCACTAGTGTAGTTTTTCCCCACAGAACACTGTTTTTTTCAGTCTTATTCAGAGACTAGGTATTCCACGCTCAGAAAAATCAGTGTTGTGTCTTTAGATTACTGGAAGTGTCCCTGTTTAATTTACAAATGAATACTGTAAACTCGCTGCTTCCTGGCAGGACAGTGGCAATAGCCACACAATTCGTACATGTGTGTAGTCTAATCATCACCAACGTCTGTTTCAACTGCATCTTTATTGCAAGAATGATCACTTATGATAGCGCCAGGAAGCAGAAAGCACAAAGTTAACTTTTGTTTTGTGGATGATGACTAGGCAGTTGTCAATACCACTGATGATCATTCCTTGCTTTTCTGCTTTTTTTTTTTCTTTTTAATTTTTAATCTATTTTTTTTTGTATGCTTTATCTAAGTACTTCATCTGAAAGGAGTTGAATTCCACTTTTGCTTTGGGACATTAAGATGACCCAATTTCTTTTACACGTTTGGTATGATACCTATTTCTGTAGCCTTTCTCAGGATTTCCTAGTCAGCTATATTCCTGGTGGTGTGCTTGTGATAGAGATGAAGTTCTTGCAGTGCTATTAAGGAACAAGAATGTGTATCTAGAGCAGTCTGAAAATGCAAAACTTGTTCCATGGCACTCTCAAAATTAGACAGAAGGTAAAACAAGTAACCTTTCTTTGATTAGCAGATAATAAGAAGGCTCCTAAATTCGACCAGAATACTTCAAAGCTAGTCATTCATTACCACTACAGATCTTCAGATGAGAATAAATTGCAGTAGATTTACTTGTATATCTGTGCTATACCAAACACTTTCTAGATTGTGCCTGTTAGTTCAACTTCTGCAGAATGTAGCTTTTTGAAACTTAATGCTGATCAATACCCCCTCCAGGTCTTCAAAGCCTCTCTGCTTTTGTTGTTGATATTGGTAGAACAGAGATGAAAAAAAAAAAACCTTAGGTACAACAGTGTGATAGATGAATTCATACAATAAAGAAATCAGAGAGATCCATCTGAAAGTCTGTGCTGCCTGAGTTTGACTTGCTGTAAATGTTCGTATTAGCTGAACACTTGGGTTTAAGAATACAAGTAGTTGATTTATAGAGGGATCATATTTTTGAGGCAGAGATTCTGGGACACAGTTGCTTGTAGAGGAGCAGGATTCATAGAACATGATGCTAATGCAGTTCATGATCTTCTGCAGCCAAGAGATAGCTGTGGAGCTGTGGAAGAAATAGGGGGTACCCCTCCACAGATATTTACTCACTCTTTTTGTCCTGTTTTTCCTTTCCCCATTCCTTTTTCTTCTCTTGTTCTTCCTATACATTAAATTTTGTACTTGTTCTCAAACGTTTTTCCAAGCCAGCAAAGCCTGAAAGTCTGAGAAAACTGGCTTGAAAGAGTCAGTTGCCTTGATTTTATTACTACTACTTTTTCTTTTCTCTTAAAATATAGAAGAAATATGGAGAGGAAATTAGAAAATACCAAAAATGTGAATCTTAAGTACTCAAGTACTGGAACATGTGTTCATATCATTTAGGCATGAGTTTTAATTCATATATGTAGGGTGTTCTAGAGTTTAGGTTACATGTGAATTCCATGCTTTTGGAATTCTCAGTTAAAGTTTTTTTTGTACATAAATTAAAAAAAAAAAGGCAAGGAAAATTGATCTGCTTATCTCTATTTTCAATACCATCCTGAAAATCAGTGAAATTATGTATTTTGTTTTTTAAATATTCCAGAATAATTCACCTCTAGTCTTAAAGTAACCAGAAAATATATATATATATATTTTTTTTTTCCTAAGGTAATTGTTTGGAGTGTTTACTACTCACTCACAAAAGGGGTTTGGACAGAAAGTGCCATCTTAATTAAAACAAAAGCAGTTAATGAATAAGTGCTTTCTAGTAAAAATAAAATGAAAGAATAAATGCAGACACTGCATACAGAACAGCATACTGAAAGGCATCAAAGTCTGTAAAGCTCAGATGAAAGATTATCCTTGCTGGTGAAGAATCCTTCTGAAAAAGAAATTCAACCGAGGACTGCTCTAGCCTATGGAAGGAGATTGTTTACCAACCTAAAGGATGATATGCATGTGGTGGGGGATTTTTATTTCCTATCCCAAAAAATCACTGCATTTGTTTTTCTCAAAAACACATTGAGTTTTACAGTCAAATATAACACATTTCGCTATAAGAAGCTACCATGAGAAAAATATGTGAATCTTTGGAGGAGAAGTTTAAAACAGAAATGTATTTTTCACATCAGTTTATATTACTACTCGGCAAAAATTTTATCAGTGCTAAAGTGAGGTATAAGCAAATTCTTGTAACTGCTGTCGTCACAAGCTTACAAAGACATTCCAGCTTTCTTTGAGACTTACTCTACTGACATTCCTATTCAATACCTGTTTCGCTTTACCTATCTGTATTTTTCCGTAGGAAAGTATTAGTATTGTTCCTTGCAGATTGCCCTTCTCCTTTATAAGTCTTTCATCTGTGTTCACTTTACAGATGCCCTCGCTCCACAGACCGGTAGCTCTGTCGGCAAACACCCCCTGCCCCATCTCCTCCCTGCCTCCAGCAGTAGAAAATATGAGCGAGGTCCCATATAACATTTCCTCAATGTTTGTGGCATTTCTTGGCCAAGGTACCCTATAGTTAAGCAGGCATTCCGCTAATGGGGAATAGGGTATGTAGTTACATAGAAGTAGCAGGTTTTGAGCATTATCAGAATTTGTAATATTTTTTGTTTTGTTTTAGGTTTTTTTTTCTTTTTTTTTTTTGGGTAAAGCATATTAAAAGAAAACAATAACATATTGGTCCCAAAGCACTTTTGAACTTATACCCTCTGTTCCCCTCCCTGTTCCTAAGGGCAAGTGTGGCAAGCAGCAGCATTCATCCTCATGTCATCTGGTGTGCTGAGCCCCAGAATCAAACTGATCACCACAGCTGCAATAAATAAAGTGTCTATCCAATAAGTTATGATGCCAAATATTATTCAACATTCTTTTGGCCAGAATCTGATGGAAAACAGCACATCCAACTTAATGCCTTTTTCCTTGCAATCAAAATTGCTGAGTAATCAGTGGAAACCAGGGAGGAGAAAGCAGAATATGAATACTGCCAATTTTCTTGTTTTTGTTTGCGTTTACTATTTAAAACAAAAATACCTGCATCAATATGGCATTAACTGTGGTGCACAATGTATTAACAAAATAAGTCTTGAAGACAGTGAAAATGTTATTTTATATATATACCTTTTCTGTCATGATGTATGATTTCTAATACCATTTTCAGTCACATCCAGACATTTCTATTCAGCATTTGACTGGATGGACATCTCATGGAATACGTAGTACATGCTCCGCTAGAAGCCTAACTAGTGCATATCTAACAGCTGAGAACACACTGTACTTTGGTTTCTTAATTAGCTTTTTGAATGTCTTGCAAAGAGAAAAACTGTAGTGTGAATATTCCTCTTGGTTAAATTGTTTGTTGCAGTCCAAAAGTAGTTGTTTTAAATGCATTCTTTCTGAATTAAAAAAAAAAAGTTCTGTTTTTTTTTTCTCTTTGTTTTCTTTTTCTAGGCTGAGGTTCAGCTATGCTATCTGGAAGCACAAAGAGATGCTGTTGAACAGATGTCCTTAAAGCTGTACAGTGAGCAGTACAACAGTAGTAGCAAGCGCAAGGAAGAGTTTGCTGATATGTCAAAAGTTCACACAGTGGGAAGTAATGGGTAGGGAACTATTCTTTTTGTTGTTTTATTCTCACTGATCTGTATTTTTTTTTACATGATATACTTTTTCTTACTTGGAAGTTAACCAGGATTTTTCTTCCTAGGCTAAGAGGCAAGGGGAAACTCTCTATACTTTTTTTTTCATATATTAATGCAAAAATTAATGAATTCTGGATAATTTATCTAAATTATGGTTTCCTCGTAGGACTGCCTAATTTTATCTAATAGCGATCCATTATTTCCATTTAAAAAATGTTACATGTCCTTAGGCTTCAGGCTTTTCTCCTCCAATTTCTTCATTTCTTTTGATTTCTTAGTATTTTCACTGAAGTATTTTTATAACATGTTAGTACCTCTGAAAGCCTCTCTATAATCATAATTCACTAGCTAATAGGAAAGATGGATGTGAAGTCAGTCACTTATAACTTACCAGTTTTGTACTCTTAGAAAGCTGCAGTTTTAATGGTTTTCTCTGATGTTGGTCATCTTAATGTTTTTCAGCTAGCATACATAAATGCATGTTTGTGCATGTATTTATCTATATTTGTATGTACTGTTACTTGATAATTTGAACAAAGAATCATGGACATTAACCACTGAAATGCGCTAAACTCAAGTCTTCCTCAAATGGCTGCCCTTGCCTTTTTTCACAAGCAAGCAATAATTGTTTGTTGTTCTGATTTAAGCCTTTAATGAAGTTCTTTTTAAACCATTCCAGCCAGCTGCACATGAAAACCTATTTGTTAGTTCATGATAGTGCTGGACAAAGATAGTTCAAAGGAGCTGACCAGTGCTCACTGACTGAGTGCATCCTTATCCCAATACCAGATTTCTGCTAATGAATAAACACTGTAGAACTTATCCCTTCTATTTCTTCTGTAAGGAAAATCATTTACTGAGGTGATCTTGATTCTTTTTTTTATCTCCAAAACTTCTTTTCCAATTGTTAACTCAGGGTTGAGGTCTTGGAAACAATTTTATTAAATTACCAACTCTAAAGATAAATGATCCTTGTAAACATCCCCTCCTATTATACAGGAAGATGACTGTTTTAGAAAAGTTGATGTGGGCTAATTATGTAGGATTACTGAGATCTTGATTACATATGCAGAAATCTGTCAGATTCTCAAGCGTGCTAGTGTAGCTAGTGCCAACCATAAAAATAATTTGTTCAGAATTGGTGTGTATATGTATATAAATGTGCACTGCAGGGTAAATGTTCAAAAGCAGCTTCTAAATTTGCAGCTGCACTTATGTGTGAGCAAGACTTAAGGTTGGGATTTTGCATAGGACATAAGAATGTCCTAGAATCATAGAATGCTTAAGGTTGGAAGGGACCTCTAGAGGTCATCTGGTCCAACCCCCCTGCACACGCAGGGTCACCTAGAGCACGTGGCACAGGACTGCGTCCAAGCGGGTTTGGAAGATCTCCAGAGAAGGAGACTCCACAACCTCTCTGAGCAGCTGTTCAGCTTTGTCACCCTCACTCTTAAGAAATTTTTCCTTAAGTTCCTGTGGAACTTTTGGCGTTTCAGTTTGTGGCCATTACCTCTAGTTCTGTTGGTGGCCACCACTGAAAAGAGGCCAGCACCATCCTCCTCACTGCCTCCCTTGAGGTACTTCTAGACACTGATCAGGTCCCCTCTCAGCCTTCTCTTCTCCAGGCTGAACAGGCCCAGCTCCCTCAGCCTCTCCTCATAGGGCAGATGTTCCAGGCCCCTGATCATCCTTGTGGCCCTGCGCTGGACTCTCTCCAGCAGCTCCACATCCCTCTTGTACTGTGGGGCCCAGAACTGGACACAATACTCCAGATGTGGCCTCACCAGGGCTGAGTAGAGGGGCAGGATCACCTCCCTTGACCTGCTGGAGACACTCTTCTTAATGCACCCCAGGATCCCATTGGCCTTCTTGGCCATGAATAGTCCTGATAGACATTAGCAGGCTTAGATTTTATTGAGGACAGGGAGTCGAAAGCTTTAAATCTCACGGAAAAAAAAATCCCACATAGAATACTTACCTGATTTTGCAGGGAAAGCAAACAATGTGGCACTTGAATGCATTTGTTTGCATCTGTAATTTCATGGTACTGAATGGCCTAATACTGGTAACAGTAATTTGTTAGGCTTTTCCCTTCCTTTTCTCTGTTGTGACTTAGATTTCAGTTTTAGTTGTTAGCCCTTGGCCTTTATGGTCATGCCAGGCCTTGTAGTCTCAACAGTAGCTTGAGGAGCTGAGGGACTGGAGAAAGATGGATGCAGTGTCACATTTTCATCCAGTGTAGAAGATGTGTTCAGCTGAATTCAGATGGACATCTTTTAGCTGAAGCAATGTGAGGTATTATATTGAGCACTATGCAATTGTCTTTCAATTGCAAACATATGGCCCTTTGAAAATAGGATTTATACAACAGTACCCTACAGCGTAAAAGCTGTGGACAGAGTTTCTGTAGCAGGATGATCGACTAGAGATTTTGAGTTCTCTACAGAAGAGGACAGTTCAAATAACTGGGAAAATTACAGTATCATTCTATTTGTTCTTTGTGGAAATTTGGACTAAGTAAGAAATAGTGTTCATATGGAGAACTCGCATTACTGTGGATGAAAAATTGTGTACATATATAGATGGGTAAAAGATGAGGAGCTTTTGTATAGGAAATAGTTCAAGTGAGAAAGGTAAAGTAGAATATCTGAAGGCCAAGGTGAAGAGAAAATCTCCTGTAGAAGGTTGAATGTTGCAATTACAGTGGAGAAGGGTCCTGTGTGTCTGTACAGAAATGGCTAAAAGGACCATGAAAGAGAAGAGAATGGGCACCCCATGCCCTAGAACGAGGTCTAGAGAGGTAACAGGGAGAGCTGAGAGACCTGCAAAACGTTGTGACAGAAGTGGTTGGAGATCTTCCACTTCTTCAAAACCAGTGAGGAACTTGTAGAGGTATCAATGAGTTACGCTCTAATGTCAACCATTTTGTGCCATGAAAGACAGATCTTGGGATATTTTTGTCAGCTAGTGATAGGGCTCTGAGATAAATTCATTGTAGAAGGCTCCAAATAGGCACAGAATAAACAGCATGTTACAGCTTTCAGGGTCAGAAATTTGATTTCTTCTATAACCTACATATAAAAACACATGTATGAAAAGGAGTTCCAGCAAATGATGACCCAGAAACATGAAGGAAATTTTCATCTGGCTGAAAATTTTGGCAGGAATACCTGTGTGCTTATGGTATTTCTCAATGCCATGTGAGTTATGCCATCAAAGAAATAATACAAACTGGATGTATGTGTTAAACATGGGGAGAAAAAAGCTGATGGAAATAGCTCCACATTCCTTTTTATTTATTAATGCCATAGACGAGCTGGTTTTCTCATGAGAAGGGCACTCATGAATTTTCATTCAAAATAATAAATTGATGTCCACATTTTAAGAAATATGTTTAGGGTTCAAGGGATTAGACATGCAACTCTGCATATCTGATTCCCTGTTTACCAAGATAAAATACACTTCTTAATGTCATTTTAATTATTATGTAGCTAATGGTTTTAGTTTATTAACCATAAACCTATACTAAGGAAGCTGTAGCTACCTGCCCTTTAATTATCTTACACCATTTTCATTGGCAATTTTTGGATACTTTCAATGGAGAAGGGTTTTTTGCATAAAATAAAAGAAGGTGGTTTTTTTTAGCACATGGTGGATTTAGATAATCTACCAAAATTAGTTCATTTCTATAGTTCCTACATCTGTAACACAGATACAGTATTTCAGAAGTTATGCTTTCCTTGATTCTGCCTGAGGCAATATGAAAATGACTTGCTAAGCACAGAAAAAAAAAAAAGTTGATTCTGAATATAAAAGGAATTTTCAATATACCACAGAAACATTGACAGTTAAGTTTCAATCTTAACTGGTCACTAATCCTACACTTGCTGTTTTTTATTAATGTCTTTCTAGGGGTGTATTGTTTACATCTTTTTCCAAGCTGATAGTAATCAGTATTTCCATTTAGATGTAAGGCATTAATTTTATAAAGTATTATTTTGAAAAAATCAGGGTTATATCAGAACTGTTAAAAACATTGCAATCAAATTCAAAAAACCATGATGAGGCTTATAGATGACCTCACTATCTACAGGTTCAGGAAAATGTCTCCCATACTCAGTTTGCTTGAAAGTGTCTCCAGTTTATTTTGCAGCATAAAACAAGAAAGCAAGAACTATGCAAACAATGAAAAGAATCCCTGCAAGTCTTATATCCCCTCTTGGGCCTTTTCCAATGCATCCTGTTTCCCTCACTCGTCCTTTTGGGTTGAGTTGCTGTTTAGAAGTTAGTTAGAAATCAGACTGCTCAGCTGTTTCCTAGCACTTACATGGGTTTTGTAAAGGTCAAGGCCAGCTCCTTTCCTGCGTCTTTAAAGGATCAATGAATTCTGCTGCACCAATAAGCAGACAAATCTAGACTGTGGTTTTATAGACCCACACAGAAAGCAGGTGTTCGGATTGAGCATGTACATGTGTTCTGCACATTGTGCTATATTTCCAGGCCACATCCTGGTTTTGCTTCCAAACACTTCCCATGACATTCTCATGGCAGAAAGTGTTGAGTGCTAGATCTGGAGTTTGAAGGATCTGGTCATCTTCATGTCTTGCTTCAGAATTTCAACTGCTACAAAATGACCAGAGCTGAAACTATACCAATTTACATAAGAGGAATAGCCTCCTACAAGCTCTTTTATATCTAGGGAAAATTATGGAGAAAAAAAGCAGCAATAGGTATTGGAGATAACAGAAGGGTTATATGTTTCTCTGAGAACTGGTTAAAGATTCTGTTTCACCTGTGTATATCGCTCCATTGAAATAGAATTTAGTTTTAGTTTAAAAATGAAACCTAAGCCAAATATCTCTGGAATGGGGAGAAATGCCCCAAACACCAAATGAAAATACTACTAACTTCAACACTAGTAACTTGCATCTTATGCAAGCTCTTCTTTATGATGGCAACATTGCTTATCTCAAGACACTGACAAATCTTTAACAAGTGCAATTTTCATAAATTATTGAGCATACTAAATTCAGTGGATCAGAGAGTTACTTCAGAAACAGTAATGAACACCTGTGCAGTATGCAAGATTTCTTTGTTGTCATCCCATCAAGAGTAATGTAACGGAAGGCAAGTACTTTCTTCTATCTTGCTTTCTTCCAAAAAGACAGTTCTACTTGTCACAACTTTATCTATAAGCATTCGAAACTACCATGCATATGATACTCTAGGTAATAACAACTGATAGTCCTATAGTATTAATAATATATAATAATATATAAAAATATGGGGAGGGTTATTTCTCTCTTGAAATACTCTGATTTTTTTTCTGGGCATTGCTAAGAATGTGGAAAACGGAAAAAAAAAATCAGAACTGGAGAAATGAGCTTTGGTGGAACATGCACTGTTGTTTGATTCTTATGGGGTGCTATGACAAGGCATTTGTTAGTTCCAGTTCTGCAAGTTTAAAGATTCCTTTTCAAGAGGTATCTTTTTGACGAATGTGCAGTTTTTTGGCATGTACCTTCTGTCTTGTATCACGGTGTTTTAGAAGAATCTATGCTTTACTTATTCACCAGGCTTTCAATAGAGAATCACATTAATCCTTTTAAGCTCCTTATTCTAATGATTTATTTTGTTGAAAACCGTAGTGATCCTCCTTTGAATTTTAATGATTGCTGGCTATTCAAGGATTCATTGTTTTGACTTCCTGTCCTTACCTTTGTTTCTTACATGTCTGTAGGGAACACCTGTCTAATACTGTATCTGGCCTTAGTTCTCACTGGCTTACCATATTCACTCAAGCCTATCTTAAGGCGTTAAGTTGAAATGCTACCTACTCATCCATGAAAATAAATGTAGGATATTTACAGAGATGGGCAGATAGACAGCAGAGGGACGGCTGAATGGATTGAGTCATTTTGCTATGAAAGTAATATTTTTATATGAATTTTATCAAAATGCTTGTTGCAAAGTTTGCTCAATATAAAGTCAGCACTTTAAAAACCATTAAACAGCATTATCTATGGGGGATTCCTATTTTAAAATTTTTGAAGCAAATGTGGTATGCCAGCAGTTGTCAGGATCTAGCATCAGCCGCTGAATTTAGGTCATGGCACTGGCTTAAATTGGATTTCAGTTTTCATTTCAATCCACTCTGTATAAATACAGGACGTCTCTTTAGAAATAGAACTAGGAACATCATGAGTTTTCAAGAATATATTATTCTAATACAAGATTTTAACAACTACACTGTATTTATGCATAATACATTTTGTTCCTTATCTACAGCCTTTTGGACTTTGATTCCGAATACCAGGAGCTCTGGGATTGGCTGATTGACATGGAATCCATCGTGATGGACAGCCATGACCTGATGATGTCAGAGGAGCAGCAGCAGCATCTTTACAAGGTTAGCGCTACCGTTACTGCCTTTACCTAGCTATAGAAGATCTGATTAGCTTGACAAGTCTTTCTCTCACAGGATATCTCTGCGTTCATTGTATGTATCATGGTGTCTATTAGAATTCCCTTCCCTGTCCCCAACCTCATTTCCATCCCCTGTGCGCTGACAGCCTGCACCGACATCATAATTGCAAGAAAGTTCCCTTTATCACATTCTATTTGGCGTAATTCTATAGAAGGACAAAGATTTGTCTTCAAGATGAATAGAAATAAATGAAACTGCATTAATAAATAGACTGAAACAAAATGAAGGAAAAAAAGGAAATGGTTGCATTTAACAAAATGTGTTTTGATTGGAGCTTTCAGCTGGATTTTTATCCACCTTTCAGTCCTCTTCTGGGAAGAAAGAAATTTGCCTTGATTTTTGGTTTGCCGCTGCCTGAATACAGGACTCTTCCAATTTAATTTTTATTAGTTATACATAAAGCAGACATTGTCATGTTAAGTCAATAGACTTGCTTGTGATTTCAGCAAAATGATTTTGAAATGCATATTGATTGCAGGGTCTTCGTCTAACATATAGATGTTCCATTTCCCTTGTTTGTCATAGCAGGTTTAGCCCAGAATCTTTATCACTTTTTAGCTAGTGAATACTTTCAAGAAGTTCCCCGAAACACGTGATTCGATCTTAGAGGTACTTCAGGCTTCCCTGTGTGTCCGAGAAGCTGTAGTCTGTGCATAAAGGGTGCGGGAGAAGGGGAGGAGGGGCTTTCCGCAGAAATATCGGGCTGCAGTAAATCTTCCTCATTTAGGCAATTTTTATTGGAGTAATTCTGACAGTTGTCATCCTTGAATTGCTTTGAGCATATGGCATATTTCAAAGAGCAGATTGTGAATCATAAAAAATAAAATTAATAACTAACCACAGAATCAGCAACAGTATAATGACGAGAAACAACTACCCTCTAGCTTTTTTTTAATTTCTTATCGAATAAGTGGTACATTCAAGGTCAAATAGAAGTTGTTTTCTTTCTTCTGTGGTTGAATGATTTGATAATTTATTAAATATAATTTACTTTTTTTGTAGTTTTGGCAACCTAATTTCTTGATGCTCTTCATACATTTTATACTCTCTAATGTCAGTCCTTTTATTTAAAATACCTGGTGGGGAGGTTGTCAAAGGTCTTAAAATATTTTTAAAAATAGAAAATGTGTTTCAGATCCAGCATACTGTAGGCTGCAAGCAAGTTTAATTCAGTGGCCTCCATTTCTTCTTTGTCAGGCACTTCATAAAGATAATAATATCTTTTTTTATATATAACTCATTTAAATACATGACATACTTAATCACATATTAACTGTTCTGGCCCTGGTTAGACTCAGGATAAACACTGTTAGAAATGCATAAAAATTTTCTTTTGAATCCAGAATAAAATGTTATAGTAGTGCTTGTCTATATCAGACCACTTTGTACCATGCATGGTCTAACTATTAGGTTCAGTTCTATAAGAAAAAAAATCAACAAATGTAAATCAGATTTTAAGAGAACAAGCCACCCGCCAAAATGAAAAGGACTAAAGCTTTAGCAGCCAGCCCAAATAATTTAAACTGCTAGAAATTTGGAGTTCGGTTAAGAGATGACTGAGGAGTGACCATAAAGTGGGATGAGTAATTGCAGATGGTATACAAAACTGGAATGAATGGCTGTTTAAAGGCTATATCTATTAGCCTTAAAAAAAAAAAAACTCTCAAAGAAATGTTGAAAGCGCTATAATTTCAAACCTTCTAACATAGACAAAAGGAAACATGAGCAAATGTAACTGAGGCAACAGTCTTGCACTGGCAACGGAAAAAATAGATAAATCGCTAGGTTTTTATCATCCTTAATTTCAGACATTCAAGAAAAAAAAAAAAAAGCAGGGGAGGGGAATCATGTCTTTAAAACAGTATTAACAGTATTAATAGTTCCCGCAAACTAGCCTAGTACACCTTTCTTCTGGTCCACAGTGACACCTCGTTATTTCAGGAGATCCTAGAGCCTAGCTGGTCTGCTTCGCGCTGGCAGCTACGTGGCATCAGGGCTGCCTGCACTCCCCAGCGAACAGAGAAGCCACCCTGCTCCATAGGGAGAGAAATCTGTAAAGAGACACCCAAGCGTGTATTATAATCAGAAGTCCTCAATGAGGTGGGGTGTTATGAAAACATAGGTCTCGCTTTAGTCATTCTTTATCAGCTACAGCTTCAAATATGAAGCTGCTAATTGCACTCTGCTTTTTGGTGGATTCTCCTACACCCACAGATCCCTCTTCTCAGTTATTGAGCTGACAAGTAATTGCACCTCTGAGCCAGCTCAGCAAGCTGCCTCTGCCAGGAAACCTGCTGTGGCATCACTATTACCAACAGTAATCATTGCCCCTAAGGAGTCTGTGGATGGGAAGGAGCTATGATAAAACAGGTGAATCAGAAGGCAAAAGCATACATTAAAGCTGAATAACATAATATATATACACTAAAATTGCATATGGGAAAACAGAATACATTTTCATTGTTAATCTATTTCCCAATGCTCTATTTTCACATTTAGTGTAGATTTAAGTCAACTCTCAGCCTGGTTTTGTTTTGTAATATTCTAGGAGCTTCTTAGTTTTTATTAGGATTTTTATTATCTCTGTTTACCATGATTTTATTTTGCTCATACATGTAAGAGGAATGTATAGCACTATCGTATTTTTTTAAACTCTGAAAATATGTACGCTATCTTTCTCTGACACAAAAGCGGCTAGTGTTGTTGGCTCTTATTTAAAAATTCTTAGATTCAAGGACCAGCTTACAAAAAGAGAAATCTGTTCTTCATTTCCTTGCCGACACTGCCCCTCAGCCCTAAATGACTTCAGCTATCTTGCTGTTAAACTAATGAATTTGAAAATCAGCTAGTGTTTGTTAAAATGGCAGTCAGACAATGAATAGCTGACAGTTTATTAGTCCTATAATGCTTTATCTATTAACTAAAGAAAAAATAAGTAGGAGCATCTCTATTGTTTTGTGGAATCTCACGTCTTTGTACTGCTCTAATAGCTCAGTTTAATGCCAAATGTATCGTGTTTACTTCATTTTAATCTACTGCATGTGAGTCTGATCTCATAAGCTCTAAGTACATAGAACTTGCATTGACTTCGGCTGGATTCTTATGCCATTACTGGAGGATCAAACCCAAAGAATTTAAACTCTGCTAATTAGTTCTTTAGCAGGAACTTGAGTAATTCTCTACCTTGAATGTTCAAAAATGAAGCACATCAGTATTTATTGGAGCTCTGGAGATTAGAAATGTGTAGAGTAGTTGGAAAAGTTAATGATAATTCCTTCCATTTTCCTCAGAAGATTAATTGCAAAACTTAATTGTGTTAGATTAAAACCCCATTTAAATAAGTACGGTATGATTGTTAAAACTGTTAGGATAGTCAGAATAAAATTAACCAAACATTTTTTAAAATCAAATAAAAGAAATGATATTTTCCCATTTGATTACAAGTAATGCATCGTGTTTGTAATACAGACTGAGAGATCCACGTCTTGCAATACTAAGTCTTCAGCAAAGATGGACTTGATAGTGGGGGGAAAAAAACGTACCACCGTGAAAACTTTGAAAAATTAGTTGATGGGGATTTTGAGCAGGTTAACTACAAGTCGTTTCGTCGAAGGGGAGCCGTTTGCCGTATTAAGAAGCACCCAAACGCACAGCAGAAGCTAAGGATGCCTTTTCAAATATGTTGCCTGTGGAGGGAAAACCCCTCAGCAGGTTTTTTTTGCTTGCCCCCAAATGCCCAGGCTGTGGGGCAGGTGCCGCGGGGTCCTGTGGGCGGCCGTGCTCCGCGGTGCCGCGCGGCCGAGGGGATCAAACAAGCCGTGCTGAAAGTTTGCCTCATTTGCATCACTTCTAGACAGCCCTGTCGTACTCTTTGCTGACAGGAAATCACTGTCTTTGTCACCTTTTTTCAGTGATCTCCTTTTGGCAGAGATTGGCCATGTGACCAGGATTAATCACAACAACAGTTCTGGCTCAGAACTCAATGACATGTTTTGCTCAGCACTTCAATAATGGTGTAGAGGAGTCAGTAGGAAATGACTACATTAATTTCAGAGTGAAAAGATAATTAACACTTAAGGACTAATGCTATAACCTATGGAGCTATTATTCAAATTGAAACTAATTTATTGAAAACTTGGGGGAAAAAAATGGCCTTTTTAATGCAACTGCTAAAATAATCTTAGCCAAGTTGCTGGGTTTAAAAAGAAGAGCCAACTATATTTAAAGCAGTAATATAAATACATGAAAACTCCAACATTTGAAACTGGAGGCTAAAGTGTGTAAAGTGCTTCCTCAGATGATGTGAATAGGACACGGGCAAACAAAAGCAGCAGTGTGCTCCGCAAAGGCTGCGCTTCCAGGAGTTTCCTTGGCAACAGAAAGGCAGTTCCAAAAGTAGACAGAACTTTCCTCAGAAAACATACTATTAATAACACCCTTCCGGAACAACTTGGAACAATTTGACTACTTGGCAATAATAATGCCAAGTGTTCTGCAAATTAATCTAACACATAACAGTTACGTTTCTCTCGCCCGTGATTCTCCTGAGCGGGAGGACTGAGCTCTCTCCAGCTAGAGGATACAAACGTGCGAAGCGGTTCCAAATGCTGCTAACATGGAAAGCAGCCTCAAACGGCAGTAGCCTACGCGGATCAATTAATGTGCTTTGTATCATTTTAACTTGTAAAACAGATTAGTTTAATTGGATTACTTTGTTCCATTTAAAACAAGTCCTGCATACCTACTGAAGCGACATTGTGTTTCAGTCTTTTTTTTTTTTCCAAGCCCGTTTTCCATTTAAAGAAAACTTATTAAAAGATTAAAAACCTGGAAAGTGATATATTTGGACAATATGCTTAGAGGATTGGTTAGAGTCTAGAGAACGTCAAGCGTTTTGCCCATGCGGTGGATGTTCTGCAGGC